TCAATCCCGGCCTTAATTTTGACGAGATTCTTTGATAAACTTGGAACTAATCTTTTACTCGAGACAAATGTCAAAGATATATCTTTCAACTTCCTCATCATATTCGAGTTTTCTGTGTTGAATTAATTAACAGTTTTAAACCACGCGGAAAAGTTTCAATAGATTTTATTAGTATCTCGACTAGTATCTCTTTCTCAAATGGAATCGTTTCGAACATATGGAATCCTTTCTTATCAGCATACCGAGCCGCAGTTTTCCGTTTTATCAGTTTTTCTGTAAAAACCTAATTCTCGGTACTCAGTTCGAGTGCTCGAAGGATTTCGTGTTTCGGCCAATCGAGACGATGTCGAGTATCCTTGTCTCGGACCGGCGCCCCGCTGATCCGCATAAAAGTGTTTCGAGAATCAGTGGACCGGCGGAATAGGCGACAAACAGGCGCGACACACTATCCAACATCTTGCACTCTTGTCGTGCCGCAGATAGCGTGCTTCAAGAACGGCGCGACAGGCGTGGGAGGTCGTCTCGCGAAGAGGCCCGACACAAGAGGGAAGGAGAAGCTTATTGTATCTTAAACGACAGAAGCTAATAGCAGGGATATGTATGCACGGCAAAAAAAAAAAGAAAAAAATCTCCCAAATAAAAGTAAAACGAAGACATATATACGCGTTAAAGACTAAGGAGTTTTGTAAAACGTGCGACGTGGAGGGCAGTAAAACGCTAAATTGATTACAATTGTTTAAAAATATTTTTGTAAAACACAGTCAACATTTGCGCATATAAATGCAAAAATCAATTATCTCTATGCTATTTTAGCATTTAATATTTTATTGTTATTATTTAAACATTAATTTATATTGAAGTGGAAATAATGATATATAATAAAAACATTTTTTTTTAATATATATACAAGAACACAAGAAACGTCTGCTAGAATTGTTTTTATTTAATGGTATTAATGATATGAGTGACATATTGCGTATAAAAATCGTCGAAAGGTAAAAATCTGAAGCATTATTTAAGATACGTGATACCTTAAATAATGTTCGATCGCGTATCTTCAAAGAGCCGCGTTGTATGGTTCTTTGAAAATTCACACACGTTTCCATAAGCGATCGTTTAGTGCGTAAGATTTAATCACGATTATCGAATGCGCTCGCTACAAGCAGATAGATGATATTTTGTTCCCATGATATTTTGTCATTTTTTTTCGTTAAAACATTTTGCTATGCGTGACGTTGCATTAATCTTAATTAAAAGTTGCATATAAATGGGGTATAAAAAAGTTCTACGTGTAAAAATATATGTATATTTCACATACGAGGTTTCTCCTAAACAGATCGCGGCGCGATAAGGCACTCGACCGTTTGCCGTGTTGCATCAAGACTAAAAATTCTTTGGGCACAAATATACATGTATTGAAATGTTGATGTAAATGTTATATATACGACATATTACACGTTGTCAAAAACTGTCTTGTCTAATTAAGTCGTTGCGGACAAAATATCTCTTTGGTAATTATTGTAAGTGCAAAAATTAATTATCACAAGTAACATTAATCATATTATAATTAATTCTACAATAGTAATTATACGCAGTGTACGACGCGACAAGACGAGCCATTGACAACGAATATCAATTATTACAGTCGAAGTTCGAAGGACATTGTTTCTTTTTCTTCTTCTGTATTATCATCGAAATGTAGCAAAGGATGCAGAAAGAAATTGAAGAATTCAAAGCGGTGATAAGAAATTCTATAAATAGCGATGTGAAGATAAACAATTTTACATTTGCTGTAATAAAATATACTTTTGACACAGTGACGACAGATATTTCTGCATTTTATTTTCATCTTTCTTTCTCCTTTGAATCCAACAAATCTGTCGCACTTTCAACCTGCAATAATCTCTGCATTTCTGACGTTCTTACTTTCAGTATATACGCATCGAACATCGAATTCGATATGTACGACCCATATACGAATGCGCGATTCGAAAGGAAATGAACGAACAATGAATGCGAAGTCGAAGGGATTTGCGTTCACCGTTCATTCATTTTTATCCACATTAAATCTAACGTTATCACAAATAATATATACATACATATGCAGGCGCGCGCGCGCGCGCATACATGCATACTTTTTATATATATTTTTTTATATTATACATTATATTACACAATATAACTTATATATGTAATATATAATATAAAATACATATATATATATGTTATATATTATATATATGTTGTATATATAAACACATATACATATATATACATATATAGAAACAAATATAATACAATGCGGATCGTGACTGATTCCGCACTTTTAAAGGGAGACGAATATGACGTGTCTTCGTAGACGAATATATGTAAATGTTATAGCGAATCTAAATGAGAAAAAGAAACAGAAAACGATAACGGAATGATAACGCATGATATAATCAGACGATTTCGTTATTTTCATTGTATTTACATCATTAAGAATGAAGAACGAATTTGTTTCGCAACGAAACGGCGAATTCTTCTAGAAGATGTCGATTTGACGCCCCATCTCAGACGAGATCAACAGCATCTGTAAATATTCGACCTCGCTGACACTTTACAGGTAAGTACGGTTGTAAAATTAAACGCGACAGAAATGTCGTGGAAAGTTTAACGAGTATATATCATTGTATTTGCAGCTCTGCAAAGCCGTCGCATCGAAATATACTTGTTATTACAATATATTTGTGATAATAGTCGTGGCAGAGACTTAAGATCTGTAAAAATGAATATTCGTATTCCTTCGGTGATTTTTATATAAAATCTTAAATTTAACTTATAATTTTTGTATACTATTCGTAACTATATAAAATCACGAACCTTTTAATTTTTAAGTCTTAAAATTGTTTTACTTTTTAATATCTTATTTCGATGCTTCATTTATACATTTACATCTCAACAACAAAATTGTCAGATCTCGTTGCTTAAAATAAATCTTTCATTTTAATCTTTTATAGATAACAATACGTAGGAATAATAATATGTACATATATATGTAGCGTACGCAAAACATTTTATCGTTGTAAACTCACATTAAATTTTTTCACGTGAAGTCCTCAAATTATAAAATGAGTTTCAACTCATATTATTAAAACCATTTATTGTAGGAGATATTACAAAATATTTATCTTTGGCATCTTTGGCATAATCATGTAAAAATGTGTATAGATCTTTGAAATAATTCAGTTAATGTTCTATTTATCTTAAAATACCTCATAAAATTCATCTTCATTTAATATACATATATAATGTATATTAAATATATAATATTATGAAATTTATAGGAGATACAGCATATGAAATTTCTTTTTATGTTATTTTATTTTTTATGCTAATTTTAAACTATTTTAAAGATCTATGAACGTTTATATATGATATATATACATATGTATATGAATGACATTATATGATATGAATGAAGAATAAGACGCGCAAATAATTATGCAAACAATTGTAAAAATATGCAAATATAACTTGTATATAATTACCGTTCAAAAATTTGGAAGCACTACTTTCTTAAAAAAAAAAACGATTCTTTAAATGAAATTTTTTCCTTGGAAAATGATTAGAAACAAATAATACTGTGTTCAATAGATAAAACAGATAGTAAATTTTTCATATATGACGTTTTTCTTTAGGATCTAAATAATGTAAATGAGCAAATTCGTATCGCAGAGAAGAATCTGAATAAATATGAACGAGACATTGGAGCAACAGAGACCATATGTGTTGATAAATTCAACGGTAGTGCAATACGCCACCAGCAAGAATTAAAAGTAAGAATTTCACGGGAATATTCTATCATTAAAAGTATAAATTTCCAAGTTACTTAATAGTATTTTTAATAAATTTTAAAAATGACATAATATCTATATGTATATATGTTAATTAAAATTATCAACAAACTATTATAGTAATTAAAGAAAAGGGTTGTGACTATGTAGATTTTATCATTCGAATATTGTATTTGTAGTAATTAACTTCAAAGAACCGGGCTAAAATAATGAATTTAAAAGCGCGATGAGTGCATGAAAATATTAAAGGGTGAAAACAAGATGTTGACCGATCTTTTGAACAAGGAATTGCCAAACTTGGAGAGCAGGCACGCTAAGGAGTCCATCCTTCAGGCAGGTAGAAATCTCTTACGTGTGAAAATTATCGCGATTTATCATGGCTTGGGTGCCCTTGGAGTCGAATCCAGAGGTTATGACGAAGTTCCTCCACAAGCTGGGCGTTCCAAAGAAATGGTCGGTCTTAGATGTGTACGGTTTAGAGTCGGACTTGCTGGCAATCGTCCCTAGGCCCGTTCTTGCCGTTATTTTGCTTTATCCTTTTTCGAAGATTGACAAGGCTGAAGAGGATAAAGCAGAAGTTAAGGATAGCAAGAATGATGGTCCAGATTCTGTATACCATTTGAAGCAAAATATCTCAAACGCATGTGGGACAATTGCGTTACTTCACAGCGTAGCGAATAATTTGGACGTCATACAATTGGAGGATGGCTTTCTCAAGAAGTTCTTAGATGAAACCAAAGGACTCTCATACGCTGAACGTGGAGAGCGTTTAGAAAAATCGCAGGAAATTATTGATACTCACATGGAATCTGCCCGGGAAGGACAGACTGAGGCACCAGCTGAGGATATGGAGGTGTACCACCACTTTGTCGCGTTTGTACATAAGGACGGTTCCTTGTACGAGCTAGACGGTCGAAAGCCTGCTCCTATCAATCATGGCTCAACTACACCGGAGGCACTTCTGGACGATGCTGCCCGCGTGTGCAAGGAATATATGGAACGCGATCCCAAAGTTAAGAAACCACCATTCTAATATGGAATATAATCTGTCTGAAGCAGCACAATCGATTATCGAAAACAGTAAGCTGAACGACAGAACTCTGAGCGGTAAGTTGTACGAGATGGAAAGGCCTTTGTCGCAATTTGACGCTACGAGCGTAACCACAATCAGATACATGTTTTCAGATACATGACTGTGCTTATTACGCTCATCGTAGCGTTATAGGGCATCAGCTGACAGGGCAGAAGCTCGAGCAGATGGAAAGGTCGTTAGTCGAGAAAGTTTTTGAGGCAGATTTGACTGAAGTGAATAACGAACTGGAACAAGCTGATATCGCGAATTTTTCATGTCCTTTAGCTGCTCCTCGTACTTCTCTTCGCGAGAACCAGTTAAAGAACATGAAAAATACGTGTGAGAAGCTGCAGCAGGAAGTCAATTCGTTGAGAGAATTCAGTCGACATGCGACATCTCGTAGTGCTTCTGTCCAGGAATCTTCGGAAAGCGTTCTGGCGAATGTCGAGAGCGATTCAGCTCGGCGAATAGAGGATCTGTAGCGGGAAATAGAGGGTCTCAAGCTACGATTTGAGCAGAAAGAGACAAAGAATGCGATATAAAAAAAGATTTGTCTGAAATGACAGAAACGCAGTGCGAGCAATTGAGGGATTCTTCTTCAAAAGTATTGACACCATTGTTGTTTTTCTTAAGAAAGTATTACTTCTAAATTTTTGAACGTTAGTGTATGTATTTACTTTGATATTATTTATAGACGCCGTCTTAAACGGCAATTTTAAAACTTTCAGTCTTATGTCCATTTCTACCAATGTAGATTAACTTTAATCTCGGTTTAATTTACTTTCTATCTTTATCTAACTCTTAAAATTAGAAAAAGATGAAAGGTAAATTAAACCGAGATTAAAGTTAATCTGCGTTGATAGAAATGTTTATTCTTCATGAAACTCATAAATTTATGGCAATAAAATCGCGAGAAGGAAAACGAAACAGCGTACGTTCGCATGCGTCACAGTCTAGGATATCCCTAGGTGCCTGTAGAAATAATTAAACTGATAATCGCGCAGTCTCATATAGTCCGATGCCACATATTGTGAGTACAAGTAATACGGCGGATAATACGACGGGTGATGAGGATAATGCAAATTGTAGTATGACGACGGCATTACTTGGTGACGACTACGTGGCGGGTCCGTCCAGGGCCTGTGAAAGGGTACCTCGAGCTCGTTCTCAGCCTTCTCTGGTGATCTCGGATTCGCGGCGATCGGTCTGGCGTCATCACGTGCGTCGTTGTTGTCCGTGTTTTCCTCGACCGTGAGTCTTTCCATCGATTCCATCGAGTTCTCCGCGATACTCGCGACGCTGTCCCCCTCGCTCGCGACCTGATTCGATTCGGAGTCGTAGGTCAACGAAACCCCTTCGTCGGGACTGGAATCCGATTGGGCCTGATGATCAATCGAATGATGCTTTCGCTTGAACCGTGACTGACCCGTCTCGCGAAAACCCTTAGCGAATGGATTGTTATTGATCTTCAACTTCGTGATGTTCTCGTTCTGCAAAAATAACACACAGATGTTCCCGTTAGACTCAATTACAATGGAAAAGATTGCTTTACGTTCCTGAATAAGATCTATTTTAGATATGTAAAAAAAATAAACTATATAACAATAATGATAAAGAAAGAAAGAAAGAAGGAATAAAATTCCTACATACTTGGTATGCCGTCACCGCGATAAATTCCGTCTCCTTGAAAGCGAACGTCGCGGTTGGATGAGTGAAGAGCTCGTTGTAGTTCTTCGCATCGAAGCAACGGACTATCCAGATCCTAGGAACGTATTTGTGCATCGACGTTAATACCACCTGTAAAATATAAGATTTTTTCTGAAATTCGTATAATTTAAAAAATATATAAAAGTAACGTGAGATTAAAACAACTTTGGATGGCACATCGTTAAAATCAGCAATGTCAAAAATTCATCAAACCTTTAAACTATTATTGAACTATTATTGAACGCATCAATATTTCATTTTCACATCTATTACATTTCGAGTTTGAACGATGCGATTTCTCACCAATTAGAAAAATATCAAAAACGCTGAGAGCTCATGCGTCGTTTGTAAATGTGTCTTGCTCTTTACGAATTTCTTATTTTCGAGTGTTAAATGCGGAAAAAAAAGGATAGTCTTTACGCGGTATCTGCATCGCGAAAGAAGATCCCGAAGAGGTGAGGGGAGATGAGTACGAAAGAAGAGGCCCTTTCTGTTAGTTGCGAACAGGGATTGGGGCGAAGAGACGAAAGGAGAGGGACGAAGCGCCGGGAATTTTATTAAATTCGTAATTAGTTTGAGGAACCGGGTAAAAGGGGCGCCGCTTTTTCGAGATAAGTTGGCGCCTCACTAAAGAGGCCGACGGTAGACACAGACGCGATTCCCGAAAACCAGACTAAGCCCTGCAACCTTCCCGGAATCACATGTCTCCGCGCCACCGAGGATCTCTCGTATGAATCTAGAGCGAGATGCACCACTTCAATACGCGATCTGGTAGTCGTTACTGACGTTTCACATTTTTTTTACGCGCGGGTTAAGACGGATTTATATTTTAGTATGAAAAGTATCTCATACATCTTTCTTCGACAAATCTCATCGAGTCTAAAATCATTTAACAATTTGATTGCCAAATTGGTTTCGGCACGAATTTGGGTCAAAATCGAGAAGTGTGCGACTGTTTATAAAATATGCATAAAATAAACCGTAAGAAAAATAAATATAAGAAAATAAGAAATATATATTTATATGTGTATATAAAAATACAAATAATATATAGTATATATTACATATATTATTCATATCATTAAATATTTAATAATTTGGTTATAGAATAAATAAAACTGTCGCTCACCAAATGTAAATAATAGATCTCTTTGCGAAACCAATTTAAACAAATAGATACAAGCAGGAGAAATATAAAATAATTCTATTTTTAATAAATTTAGCATATTACTTTAATATTTTATTGTGTTTCTTTTAATTTTTATAAATACTTGAAAGTAATAAAACTATTCCTAATTGGATAAACAAAACCGTAAAACCACGGGTGATAGGACTTGTAGAAACTTTCGGGTGACATGGCAGTCAAAATGCTAAACGATAGAAAAATGTCCATATTATAAGCAATTCTATTACGAGAGTTTTGGCGAAATAACCTTCAGAGGCACAAACAGAAATAACGAGGCTTTTCTCCTTGGACGAGTTCAAGCGGAATATTTACATTTCACATGAAGTTTGATTATCAAAACTTGTAACACTGAAAAATAAAGGAATGTAAGTTACAATACAGTTTTTAATTCAAAAAAATTCCTCGGTTCATCTATCTTTCCTTTAGCTGTATAATATCTTTTTAATGAAAAATAATAAAAGATATTTAACTGAATATTTAACAATAACTAATTTCCTAATTGCTTTTTTTTTTAATTTTCAGTGTTACATATTTCGATAGTCTTATATTAAGGCTGCATTCCGATATCCACTGTCAGTACTGCAAATCTATATTTTATGTCACGTATACTATAGATTTTCAGTACTGAAAGTTGCTGACGGTAAATATCGGAATGCAGCCTAAATAAATCCTGTTTGAAAGAAAATTGGGGAAGAAAAATTTTGTTAACTCTCACGCTGAAAGAGAGAGAGAGAGAGAGAGAGAGAGAGAGAGAGAGAGAAGTAAAGATTAGTGAAGACTTGTCGCTAAAATTCTACAACTCAAAATCGCTCATAATTAAAAATTTATTAACATTTCTACAGTAGGACATATAACTGTCTTTTCTTTCTGATTTTTAGCTGGTTTAGATTAGATAAAATAGGGAGATCTTAAATCAGACCAGATTCCGTTTCCCGATTAAAGAAAAAGGTGACGAAACTAAGATAAACGCGCGACAAAGCGAATCTCTTGTTTGTCTAGCCGCTAAATCCACCTTTGTGGATTAACGTAAAGTTTTTCACGCATGAATCGGCTCGAATGGGTAATAACGAGCAAAAGTGCCGCCGAGCTCTTCTATACTCATCCTTCTTGCCGTCGACAAAGGTATAGAAGAGAACCGTAAAACGGCATTTTTAACACCAACGGCGATGATGGCAGCTATAGAGCTAGGAACCTTGTCGGCCGTAAACAAATCCGCTCTCGTTCAGTCCCAGTAGGGAAGGGAGGTATATCGATTACAGGGTATCGTGGAGCGTGCTAATCTCCCATAGATGCCGATCGACGTGCCGCACCATCTTGAGTAGCTTAGTCTTTACCGGAAAATGCACCGCCGACCGGCTCGCCGATCTTTTTTTTTTTCCAGAAGTTTCTAATCCTCATGTAACCACAAGACGCGCTTTCTTTGAGCGAATTTTGTGAGAGAATTTAGTTCGAATACCCACAAAAATATCACGAGTTTTCGAATATATTTTTGCGTGCACCGAATTTATACGCATATGTATACATATATACACTCGTATATATCTTTTTTAGTGGCTTACAAATTAAAACTTATTTATTAGACCGAGCAGAGATTTACCACTTTGATGTTAGGAAAAAACATACCTTCTAATACCGATTACTTTATAATCTAAAGGACATAGATTACCGTATCACAACTTCTTTTATCTATTATCTGTTATCGCTATAAAAATATACAATATACAGAAATTGAGAAATAGGAGAAATGATTTAAAAAAATAGAAAACAGAATATATTGCATCGTGAAAAAAAGAAAGAAAATTTTGCGAAACTTTTAGAAGTTCTCGTTTGATGTTTTACGATTACCCGAAATAATTCGTATCTCTGCCTTACAATGTTTCGTAACTATTAATTGATAGTTAATGGCGTTAATGCTAAAAAGAAAGAGTCGGAAACAAATTAGACGGGATGAGACGTAGCGATACTCCCCCATGCAACACAAATAGAAGATAAAACGTAATACGAGACCGGGATAACGAAGATGGAAATGGGGAGAGAGGAAATAAGGATTTTTGAAAATATTTAAGGCTGTCAAAACATTGAAGAACCAGATATATAAGATAGCGGCCGTTAAATTTGAACGGTTTGTTCTCCTTTTATGTTTTCTCCAAGAGACTGTTTTTCGCCCGTGTATTTCTCTG